ATAGGTGTGTTTGCATGCAGCAAGTTTATATGTATGTGCGTGTGTTAATGTGGGTGTTTATGTGAGGATCGAGTTTATATGTATGTGCGTGTGTATGTGGGTGTAATCATGCATCAAGTTTATATGTATATACACAAGTTTCATCCATGTTGTTTTGAACATCCAGTAGTATAGGTGTATATGCGAGTAATTTATAGGTGAATATACACGTGTTTTATGTATGTGTTGATAAGCAAAGTTTGATTTAAATCCTATATGGCACCTCATAGGTTTCTTTGGCCTAAAAGTATCACCCAAAGACAAAGGCAGAGTCATTAAAAGCCTGCCCGTACACTGCAAAAAAATGCTTTTCTTACTTACATTTTTTGTCTTGTTTCTAGTCCAAATATCTACAACTTCTTAAATCAAGAAGCATTTTCTAGACCAGCAAAACATATTGTCTTGTTTTAAGGAATAATATGCCAAAATGAAGTGAGCATTACATTATATGTGTACATGCACAGGCCTGTGTGTTCTCATTCATCATATTTATTTACTTGCCAACCGACTGTTAGCATCGAAATCGAGTGGTCTCGCCACTAACGAAGAAACCCAGCGCAGTGAGCGCACCAATCCATAATATAAAACCACAGAAATTCTCTGTAAATAAAGACAGAAAAATGAAAAGAAAAAAGAAAATGTATTTTATAACATCCTCGTTTAGATAGATGCCGTCAAACATTCAGCCCAAATGCTCTGGGGAGACGTCAAACATTAATTTTTCCCTATAGGCTATAACAGGTGATTCCCCTTTATTTAAGGATATTTAAGGAAAGTGTAAAGCATTTCAGCACATAAGAACAAGTAATAAAATATAGCCTATATTTCTTTGCGCTCAGCAGCTTTGCACTAATAAAGTTCTACATGTATTTAAGAAAAAAAGATAGTCTAACCTACAGAAAAAAGGTTGCCTATAGTTTCTGATTTCACTCACCCAAAAATGCTCTATTTGCATGATTTGATTAATATCATCGTATACAAATACTTATTAAATAATTTTTCAAACCCGTTTCAGTTTTAATTGTTTTTAGAAATTATCTAAAATCTTTTTTTTTTTTTCAGAGAGGCCTTTGTAAAATGAAAGTTTAATATGGCTTTAAAACGGTTTGATTTATGTAGGCTATTGTATATACCTAAATTGCTTTAGCTTTTGTTAGATTTATATTGGTTTATTTATTTAATGCAATTTTATTATAAAATATATTTGTAATTCTTTAAATTATTTCAATATAGCTTAGGCTATTTTATGAAGATATGACACTATTGTTTTGAGCCTACAAAAGATGACACTATATTTGTAAAGTTTCATGTCTTTCTGTTGTATTCGTATTGAGTATTATCTCCAAAATAAATAACAAAAAGAAAAAAAGCCGCGCGGCATCAACAGAGCTGTGAGGAGAGCACTCTTTTGCTCTGTCTCACACACACATACAGGCATCTAAACGCACACAAACACACCTTTTAAACTTGACAAAAACTCTCGACAACCTTTACTGTCTGCTGTGTCTTTAATATGGTGTAAAGATTATCATGCATTATTGAAACATCAAGGAGGACGCAGCAAAGAAAAGTCACAAAGTCATAAAGTTGAAAACTTTATTGTTTTATGCAACAGTCTCATAAGGACGATCATACGACGTCAAAAAGACCCCAGCCTATAAGGCTAGATGTTTTCTTTCCCTTATTTGTTTATTTGTTTGGCACATGTACTCCAAACAACTGAGGCAACTTGGCAAACGAGACAGGTTCTGAAACAAAAAAGCACCCTTAAAAGCAGAATTTATGTTATGTCTCCAAAGCTTGTAAAAAAAATATATATATCACATACGTTAATGATTTAAATTTATAGTAGGTTATTATACTGTATATGACATGAGCCTGTTGTTTAGAACCTTTCTGCAGTGGTTTGCATGTGTCAAATTGTAAAAGTACACTTTTCAAAAGATAAATAAACAGTATCCTATGATGACATCATCCTCAACATTAATAATATTAATATTGTTATTATAGTATGATTTTTTCATTTCCTAATAAATATAACATTTAATTTCCTAATAAATAGCCTCATCATTTGTTTATTTCTATGATTTTTATATGATATTAGAATACGTGTTAGCTTTTGTAAGTAATTTTATGTATTAGAATATGACATGTTATGTTCTCAATAATATTTGTAAAAGAAACTTAGGCCCTATATGAGCCATTTAAATATATTTCAGTTAATCTGAAAAACGAGTGCATGTTTTTACTAAAACTAATATATGATTTTTTTTTTGCACAAAGAAATTATGGCCTTCTTCTTTAAAGAAGCCACCCGGTTATCACCCTGTTTAGAGTATCATAATGGGCGTTTCACGTTATAACATCTATCAAACGAAAAACTACAGGTTTTGGTAAACACTCGTCAGTACATTGTTTTTTTTCCAAACGATGCATCGTAGTATGATAGTTCAGCTGCAAGTTACGTCGTTGTTTGGGAAACGCACCCAGGATAGGTTTGTTCTTCAAAATTCATCTGAGAGTTGTTGTCATAGCAACAAGTCTGGAAGCTCAAACTTGCTCAGGAGCAGGCTTATTTCATATAAAGAAGATTAGATTGTGTAATTTCAAGCAAAAGCTATACTAAAAGTATGTACCAACTGCTGATATTTTCTTACAATAGTAACCTATAGGTTATGCATGTTGTATGAACTTTGAAGAAATAGCGAAAAATATAACTGTTAAAATAATTAAAATAATATAACTTTAAAAACACATTTACATTTTTAAAATGATTTATATTATTATTTTTTTATTTAATTTTAAAATAAAACTTATGTAAACTACACTCCGAAATAAAGGTACAAAAAGTGTCACTGGGATGGTCCTTCCCAAAGGATTCAAATGCTATGTATTTTTAAAAAATAGCTTTAGTACAATGTCTGTATAATGATAGACATGGCCAATATTTTTTGTTTTGGCCAGTTGCACATATCTTGCAATATCAAAATGATTTTTTTTAAATGCATTTAAAAAGCAGTTATGCCCTATATGCCACATGATTATGAAACTTGAGTATAGTATCCTATAGAAAATCTACTTTAAAAGTAAAAACTAAACAAATTGCTAAATACTCTTGACACATAAGTGTAAAGCCTATAGCCAACTACAAATGTGCAGTGTCATTGCAAATCATATTTAAACTGTTTGCTATGAATTCTGTTATTTTTATTACATGGAAATTAAACATTATTCAGATGATTTCATTACACTGCTATGTCCTTCACAACAAACACACAGTGATCTCAGATCCACACACAATTCAAGTTCTTGCATTGTAACCATGTTTAACCATGTTAATAGTTAAGTTTAGGGTCCTGTGAAGTATTTGTAATTGTGCATTTTTATTCAAAATGTCATGTACGGAAACCTGAAAAGAGGGTGGAACATATAGTAGCTCCTCTTCTTTTTAAAAACCAGTAGCCCTTTGCTTTATTACAGCTCTCCAGTGAGAGCGGCTCATCTCAAGCGCATTAAATAAAAAGCAAATGAGAAGTGTCTCAAAGGGGATGGGACATGTTTGGTACTAGAAAGCCTTTGATTGGTCAAGATTTGATGGAAAAACTGAAGTATGAATTGACTTGGAAAAAATAATTTATCCATTTAGGTGGAAGGGACTGCAAACTTTAGGTGTTTATGTCTTTTTTATATAAATATATTTTTATTTTCTTTGATTTGGAGCACACTAGCTTATAAAACTATCAAACTGATACTAACATCTTAAAAACTTATTTTAATTTCACAGGACCTTTAAATGAATAAATGTAATTTTCTAAGTAAACAGGTTTATGCTGGTAATAAGCAGTCTGAAAAAATACTTTTGAAATAAAATGTAAATAATAATAATAACTATGCCTTTCTTGTTTTTGTCTTCCAGAACTCAAACAAGCTCAGAATATGATGAATGTGCTACAGTGAACCAGCTTTTTAAAACCGTATTGCTGAATTAAACACTTGCCCAGATTCTGTCTGTACTGTGTATGTATAAATAATGTGATTTTATAAAAAGATAAATGTTTTTCTAATGTAAAGTATTTTTCTCTCATAACTCAACCCTCTCTCATAACAGCTATATATATTACTATGTGACTGTGTGCAAGAAAATAAACGTTTGAACACAAAAATAAAATATCAGTTGTTGTGTCCATCACACAGTTTCATATTTCAAGTTAATTGCAATTTTAATTGGCTAATTTTTTTGTTTGTTTGAAAAACCTATAATTTTATCCTAAAAATAGATAATATTTAAAAACATATTTATTTTTCCTGCCAAATCTATAATTATTACTGTTTGAATTATATTGAAGACACAGTGGCGCAGGTAGTGCTGTTGCCTCACAGAAAGAAGGTCGCTGGTTTGAGCCTCGGCTGGGTCAGCCGGCATTTCTGTGTGGAGTTCGCATGTTCTCCCTGCGTTCACGTGGGTTTCCCCCACTGTCCAAAGACATGCGGACCCGGTGAATTGGGTAGGTTTAATTGTAGTGTATGAGTGTGAATGTGTGTGTGTGGATGTTTCCCAGAGATGGGTTGCAGCTGGAAGGGCATCTGCTGCTTAAAAACGTGCTGGATAAGTTTGCGGTTCATTCCGCTGTGCCGACCCCAGATTAATAAAGGGACTAAGCCGAAAAAAATTCTATGAATAAATGAATGAATTATATTGAAGAATTATTTAACTTTATAATTTATTACCTCAGCCTTGAGAATGTTCAGGCATATAGGCCTATAGGAAAATGCTGAAATCCTCATATTTACAATTACACATTATTTATCTTAAAGGATAAAATGTTATATAAACATTTCCGTAACACCACTCATATTGTGTCTAAAAATGTTTGAGCATTTAGAGTTGAATGTAGGTATTCATATGCACTGCCGAAATAGGAAAACAAACTACAACTCCCATGATGCCCTTTGCTAGTTTCATAAAGAGGCGCGTTTCCAGGATTGTGTAACATCTTCAGGAGTGCAAAGGTGGGTTTGTGCACGACTTCTTTTAAATAAATTAGCGATTTACTGAGTGTTATATTACTAGCTTGGAGCTTAAGTCGCCTGTCGTCATGCGTCAGTTCACGATCTGCGTGTAGCATCTAAACGTAACTAGCTGCAGTGTCGTTCAGGTGGAGGAAAAGATAAGCACAGAACGCTTGAGATATGTTCTGAATACATGTGCACTCAAGTTTAACAAGCTTTATATTTTTAAATATATATATGTACTATGTTAAACTACTACTAAACTAACTACCCTTATCTTAACTAGCTTAAAACTATTTTCTTGTGATGAAATTGGTCGTGGTTGTTACTTATTGCTTTCATTTTGATAAATTGACAACTACAGGGGTAGAAATCTAGACGTCTAAATAAAGAAATTACGGTCAAAAGGTTTGCTAAAGAAGAAAAAACAAGTTTGACCCCATGGTCTTAGTTCAAAATAGAGTAGATTAATGCATCAATACTTGTCTCATATATGTAGCTACATGTATAAATGTGAATTTGACATGCATATTAATAAAGTTATAGGCCAAAATAGCAGCATAGGATTTTTTATTTTTTTAAATTCCTAATTATACACATTTTGCTTTCTGACATAAAACTGCAGCATTTTTTGTGGAGAACTTTGACATAAAATCCATAAGGGTGTTGTCTATGTAGAAACTCATTAAAAAAAAAGTAGTGCCCAGATGTGGGAACGTAAATTTCTAGACACTTTTTCTAGATTCACCTTATGGCCTACTTATAAATCTTAATTCTTTGCCAGGTTAAGCACTTCTTATTGGAAAAAAAAGTTTAAAGCTATAACTTTCAATTAACTGTTGTAATAGCATCTGACCACTTGTTTAAAATTTTTCTAAGGCCTATTTCCTGTGTGAGAATGCCAGAAGGTCCTGAGCTGCATTTAGCAAGCCTGTTTGTCAACAGGATGTGTGAAGGGGTTGTGTTTACTGGAGCCGTAGAGAAATCTGAAGTAAATAAAAATCCTGAGGTCCCATTTTGTTGTGACGCCTACTGCATCAAAGCACAGTCCAGAGGAAAAGAAGTCAGACTTACACTCACGCCCATTAAAAATGACGCAAGCAGTAAACGAAAGATTGATGAACGGCAGTCCCAGCAGCCAATGAATGTGGTTTTTCGATTTGGGATGTCAGGATTTTTCCGCTTCACTTCAGTAGACGAACTTCCGAAACATGCCCACCTGCGGTTCTACACTAATGAGACTCCACACAGGGTTCTGAGCTTTGAGGATACCCGCAGATTTGGCAGTTGGCAACCAAATGGGAGCTGGCAAAAAAACAGAGGCCCTTGCATCATGTTTGAGTATGAGAGCTTCAGGTAAGGGAGGAAAAATGCATTGCCAATGCGCTAAACAGCAATGGTGTAGTCACGTTTACCTTTGTTCAACAAAATTGAGTCATTCCCCCCAGTATTCCAGGCCCGTAGTCAGCATGGTGGAAGGGGTGGTTCTGTTTTCTTAAAAAAGTGGACCTTTTGGCAATTATACAAATTTTCTGTTTAATTTTGATTTTTTGTGACTATTAGGTTTGACTATTTAAGCCAAAATAGTGTTCAAAATCAATATTAATATGGTACACATTTAGTGCTTTCTATTTAATGGTCATTTTTTTGTTTCAAGAATAAGGTCTAAGACTTACAATCAAAGTTAAGAAATACAGTAGCAAAAGATGAATTCTTTTACGTCAGATTGCATGTTTTCTTGCACAGCTGGATGTTAGACACATGAAAAATATTTCCGAAAGCTAAAAAGGGATTTGGCTTGGTCTTAAAGCCTTTTTCGATGGGTTATTTTCACCATGATGGAATAGCAGCCAACGTAGGACAAATGAGCAAATGTATGGGACAAATTCTAGACCTTTGTCAGTGACGGGTGGGTCTTCTGAACCAAACGAAATGTGATCATTAATTGCACAAGCATGAAAACATTTAGCCCATTGTTTTACATGGAAAATATAAAAGGATATGTCACCCAAAACCGAACATTCTTCCATTATTTACAGCCCCCATTACTTGCTTCAAACCTTTACGTTTCTTTCTTCTGGTAAACACAAAACAAGCCATTTTGAAGGAAGCTTGAAACCTGCAATCATTGACTTGCACTGTTTTTCCTAATTTGGAAGTTAATGGTTACATGTTTATTTAAAATGTCTTTTGTTTTCAAAAGAATAAAGAAACTCATGAAAGTTTTGAACTACTTGAGGCTGAGTAAATAGTGTGTAGTCATTTTTGGGTGAACCATCCTTTTATGTCATCACACCGACCAACAGAAACCACCTAGTTTGAAGGTGATGGCTATTGACATAAGCACAGACCTGCTAATGTGACTGCATCTAATTACAGTAAATGTTTAAATTTGTATAATTTTAAAAAATACTAACAGCATATTTAAATATTTCAGGGAGAATGTTCTTTCTAATCTATCTGACAAGGCATTTGACAAACCCATCTGTGAAGCTCTCCTAAATCAGAAGTATTTCAATGGAATTGGGAACTATCTTCGAGCAGAGATCTTGTTCAGGTAATCCAGTTTTTCAATGTTTAAATTAAATTAGAGATCCACTGGCTGACCCACTATCAATCATAACTAGTCAGTTTTTGCACTTGCTTATGAATAGTCTTATATAAAATTAATTACAATCAGTGCATCCTTTAATCAAATTCTGGACCTCAAATTTCTAAATGAGATCACATTGTCTTTTTTTATTTCACTTATTTTATTGAATCCCATGAACTTTTGCTTATTTTGATGGCCTACTGTGACTTTCATGTCAAACTATATCTAATTCGAAGTCTTTGTCTTAATTCTAAGACAAAGAAACTGACTGTTTCACCTTCATTTCTTTTTCAGATTACAAATCCCTCCATTTGAGAAGGCACGAACAGTTCTAGAAGGACTTGAGCTGAAAGACGAAGATAAAAAGAAGGTCAAAAAGGAGATTTCAGTTGCAGAGGTGAAGGAATCTGGCCTTCCAGTCTGTGTCAGTGTATTATTAGGCACTTGGTTTGGCATAAATCATTGCTTTGTTCTGTATTAATCAGACTACAGACACAACTGCGAAGAAGGAGATTAAGACTGAGACCCCAGACCTCCTTTCGTTATGTCACACTGTTCCTTGGGAAGTAGTGAATTTGGGTTGGTTTACTTTGAAACCAATTATTATTAACTGTTTTTGCACAAATGTACATGCTTAGCATTGTAAATTATGGTACATACATACATAACCATCATGGTTTAGATCAGTATTCATGCACTTCATTTCTTCATCATTAGGAGGAAAGGGTTATGCCCCTGCAAAGGGGGAGTATTCTGTTCTACAGGCCTGGATGAGGTGTTACTCTGTGGATGGAATGAACTCATTAAATGACCACAATGGACGGACAATTTGGTTCAAAGTATGAGCTTGTAAATCGTAATTCTAAATCTGATGGCCATTCACTAACATGTATAGTTAATTTTTTTTCCATTGTTTTCTCTGTTTCAGGGAGATCCTGGTCCTTTGGTGCCTAAAGGTATAATAACTCTGATATAGTAATGGAATGAATGCAGATTGACCACTATCGATGCCACATATGCTTGTAACTAAAATACTCTTTCACTAGGTGCCAAATCCCGCAGAATTGTGTGGAAAACACAGAAAGGTGGTCATGATTACACTGATTCAAAGGTGAAAGGCTGTTACATTTTATAATAATTGGGTTCCTGAAGGATACAAGAACATTCAATGACATCTGCTTCACTTTAGAAAGCCAAAAGGACACAAACTGACAGCATTAAAAAAGAAAAGTCAGACAAGAAAATGGGCAACATAAAAGTACAGAGAAAAAAAGAAAGCTCCACAAAAAGTGGATTAAAAAGGCAGGAGAAAGTCACAAGAATTTCCAAGTCAGAACCTGCAGACAAGAAGAAAAAGCCGAACGAAGGAGAAAAGAGAAAGTCTCAGAAAGGTCAGAATTTTACATTTTATGGCTACTTGCAGTAATATATGCAATGTGAGTATGCTCAGATTTAATCTGTGTGTGTAAACTTAAATCCATGGCAATGTTCAAGTTTATAAAAAAAAAATTGAAAAAATGTCTTTGATGTGAATCAGGATATCTTCCATCCATTCCATATCCGAAAAAAAGGAAAACTTTAGAAATGGACGTTTTTCTTTTGATCACAAAAAAAGAGAGATTTTGGCTCTATTTTCGATTTTTAGTTTTGGGTAGGAATTTGATAAATGACTTTAAAATTCATTATACACGCAAGCAATGCTAAAATGCACTTTTTCCTGTGATTGGCCAACCAAATTTGAGGTCGTGACACCACCCTCAAAATAAGTCCTGTATATAATTCATTTAATAAATGAAAAAAAAAAAATAATGGTGCCCAATGTGTTATTATTCTGTTCCTGCAAACAACTATTAAAAAACAATAAAAAAACAATGTAAACAATATGAATTATTATTAGCCTATTATTATTATTATTATTATTGAGGCCTACAGTAGCTCTGAAACAATCATGAAAACCAGGTGCTGCTCGGAAAATCATTGCTCGGCATCAGCTGCACAGCAGCAAGAAATTGGTGAACTATAGGCATATTATTATATATTAATTTTATTTTCCCCTTATTCCCTTTATATTATTATTTGAATTTTATTTTATAGGCCTTGCTCGGAAGCAATAATGCAAAGCAGATTCTGCTTGGAAATGGCTATTTTTGCTCAGTGTCAGGTGCACAGCAGCAAGACGTTTGGCAGCAAACTATGATCTTATTTTAAAGACTGTGAAATGTCTAATAATACTGCTAATTTAAGTTTTTTAATTTATGCATACTGCTAACTGATCAAATAATAGAATATGTAAACTTAGTTTATATTTATAATTAAATAATAATAATTAAACTTTAAACAACCAATACAATTAATTAACCAAAATATTATTTTGAGGGTGACGTCATAAGGTCAGATTTGGTTGACCAATTAGAGGAAAACGGGTGTTTCAGCACCACCTACATGTGTATAATGAACTTTTAAAGACGTTTATCCATTTTCCTACCCTAAACCAAAAAAATGTTTTTTGTCTGAAAACAAATATGGAATGGATGGAAAATACCCTGATTGACAAGGTACTTACCACCACATCAAGGTCTGAACAGGCATACACACTTTTCTTGAAACTTCAATTTTGTTTCTTTATGGTCATTTTCAAGCATATCAATTCTTATATTGGTTTGTGCTTTTTTTCGATTGTAATTAAATTAAATTGTTTGATTAAGGGGCACTTACAAGGCAGAGATCATTTGCCATATATATATATATATATATATATATATATATATATATATATATATACACACACACATATATTTATATTTATGTGTGTGTGTGTGTGTGTGTGTGTGTGTGTGTGTGTGTATATGTATATATATATATATATATATATATATATATATATATATATATATATATATATATATATATATATTACTTTTTTTGTGCACACTTATTTTCTTTGAATTTAATGAAGCTCCAGATCCTTTTATTTTTTTACAGTTCCTGTAAAGACTGGAAGTAACAGAATAAAAGGCAGATGTGTAAAGGAAGTGAATAAAAAGAATTCTACCACCTGCAGGAAAAGCAAAACAAAAGGTTCAAATTGACCTTTCATTATGGAAGCAAACTGATTGGTAAGCTGTTGTGTTTTGTGATGTTGACTCTCTCTTTGTCTGAATCCTGTAGCAAAATCACAAAGTCGTGACACAAAATGATGCTGTTCCAGATGATGTGACTCAACAATCAGAATACTTTTCAAAAAGAAGCTAAATCTGCAAACTACTGTAATGTACCACCCAGTCCTTTTATTTTGAAAACAATAAAAAAAAAGAAAATCTATTTTTTTTTCTGTGCAGAGTGCCTGCTTGTGGTTTGTCTTCTCTCTCTGTCTGAGGCCAGGTATACAAAACAGGACAAATTGAAACAAGGGTGCAATCACATACAAACTTTAATTATAGTGAAAGATTAGAGTTCATCCAAAAATACAAATTCTGTCATAATTACTCACCCTTTAATTGTTCCTAACATGTTTTAATTTTTAGTTTCTGCTTTTAAACATAAATGAAGATATTTTGAACAAAGCTGAAAACCTGAAAGCACTGACTTCCATATTGGAAAAACAAAAGTCAGTGGTTAAAGTTTTTAAGCTTTCTTCATAATATCTTCTTTAGTGTTAGTGATAAAGAAATTCATAAAGGTTTAGAACCATTTTAGGGTGAGTAAATTTTCTTTTTGCGGTGAACAAATGTGCGACTTCTGGAAATTGTCAAAAAAAAAAAAAACAGGCAGTAATTAAAAAAGACAAAATTAAGTTGATGATAATCAGGCTTAGATTATGTATTAAAACCTCAGAGGGGAATTGCACAAAAGTAGAATTAAAAAAGCCAGGATAACAGAAAAATTGCAGCTTGACTTAGTTTAATCGGGGGCTCCTGGCCTAGTCCATTGCACGTTTGCTTATACAGGATGAGAGAGCCGCTATGTCAAGCTTGATGATGATAGCCAGGATAAGTGCACATTTGTTAACAGACCAGGGTATTGATTACAGAATCAATGATACAAGTATGGATAAAACCCGATGTGAGCCAATTAAGTAATGAGTAGGGATGTAACAATACTGTAAATACGTCATACTGCAATAGTAATTTTTTTTTCAATATTACTGTAGGCGCATGACTCAATAAAACTTTATTTCTGAGAAAATTTTGCTTAGGCAAATGAAGCGAACGGGAGGTAGCGGGAACTACAATTCCCATCAGCCTAGGCATGGCCATCATCCTTTGCGGGCTGTTGTCACTACAGATCCAGTAATGCAGAAATGGAGTGTGTTGCTAGTAGCAGGGAAGAAAAAGAGCTGGAAATGATCGAACCTAAAGCGGGTTTTTAATCGAATGTGTGGAAGAATTTCGGTTTCTTTCTAAAAAGATACGAAAAAGGAGAAAAGGTGACAGACAAAGAAAAAAACAGTATGCAGGCACTGACAGACTGTGGTGAAATATAAGTCAGGGAATACGACTAAAAACAGTCATGGGGACTGCAGAACACAGCACACTTGTTAGATTGATGCAGACATTGACTTGTACCGCAAAGAGACCTCTATCTCACTCATGGCTTGTCCTCTCAAGTGGTGGAAAGACAATGCACAACGTTACCCACTACTGTCAACCTTGAGTGAGTGATTAAATGTTGAATGTGATGAGTTTTCAACAATACTAAATTGAAACTTTATTTTTTTTATATGGTTTAATAGTTTTTTGTTATTAAAATTGAAAAATTGAAGCTTACAGATAGACGGCTAATTTGTATGTAATTGATGTGTTCTGTGATAAGGTAAATAAACACTTTTGGCACTTTTTTCGAGTCTTTTCATTAGTTTTGTTTATCCTGTAAATTTTTAAATAAATACCGTACCGTGCCATTCATACCGAGGTATTATCGTACCATGAAATTTTGATACCGTTACATCCCTAGTAATGAGTGAAAAAACACCTCTCTCGCCCATCAATCTAGGAACTACCATTACTTTTATTCAGAGAATTAACAGAAATATATTAGGTGAGACATTAACAAACTAATTTGTTCACCTTGTCTTAAATGTGACCAGTGGACATTCATAATACTATTGAATTTACCGTGAAGATTATTGCAAACACTTACAAAATATTGAAGATCTATATTTTATCCATATTATTTTCTTTGTAATTGAGCAGTTAATCTATTATATGATGTTTCATCATCAAAAAATAATTGTTATATATTTTTAAATATATATTTTTTAATAAATATTCATATTAATAACAAAAATATAAAATTGTTGACATCTCATTGTTGTAATATCTCATTTAAAATTAAATGTGTTATCTCTCTATACCTAAAGATGATAAGTGAACAAAGTCTTATTTCAACGACTAAATTAATAACAGGTAAATAAAACTCTTGATTAAATGCAGTAATTTGAGACCAATAAAAATGGTCTACGTTCACAGAGAACTGGATAAAAATATTTTTTAAAAGGGGCTGTACTCATTAATGTTGAGCACTTTATATGTATCTTATCTAGATCTCCCCATATTTAAATCTGAAATGGATATACAGTAGAAGTCAGAATTATTAGCCCCCCTTTGATTTTTTTTTCTTTTTTTAATGTTTCCCAAATGATGTTTAACAAGAGCAAGCAAATTTTCACAGAACGTCTGATAATAATTTTTCTTCTACAGAACAAACCATCATTATACAATGACTTCCCTAATTACTCCAACTTGCCTAGTTAACCTAATTAACCTAGTTAAGCCTTTAAATGTCACTTTAAGCTGCTAGAAGCATCTTGAAAAATCTAGTAAAATATTATTTATTGTCATCATGGCAAAGATAAGATAAATCAGTTATTAGAAATGAGTTATTAAAGCTATTGTTTAGAAATTTGTTGAAAAAAATCTCTTTGTTAAACAGAAATTGGGGAAAAAATAAACAGGGGGGCTAATAATTCAGGGGGGCTAATAATTCTGTCTTCAACTGTATATGAACATACATAAAATGATTGCTAATAAATCTAAACATTTTTAATACTAATAGATAGAAAATATTTGTGAAGTGCACAGAGTGACTGTAAAACACTTAAATTTTTTGTAGCACTGACGAAACTAACATATAAATCCTTAGCCTGGTTGTTAGCCTGCTCTGGAGCAGGCTTGCAGCAAAATAAATTTAGCAAAAATTATAAGACTTATGAAAAATTAAACCACAATAGTCTCAAAATCCCAGCATAATCCCTTATCTTACTTTTATGCAATACCCCTCTGGTCAGATTTTTATTTATTTATTTGCTGTTGTCACAAACAAGTTAAACACAATGCATTATTGAAAAAAAAAAATCTCAAACTTTGTCTGAAACAAAAATTTCCTAAAATAAATATCCAATGAAATCAGTCAGTAAAATACCTATGCCCATGTTCATTTATATGTAAGATCCCATGAGTAATATCAAAATCAGTGCTTTGGATTGGCTCATTTTCCACTGGGATTTTCCACTCCAGGGGGAATCACATGAGAATAAATAAACAACTGTGTTTCAGACTTGTAGTATGTCATTACTGTGTACTGAACTCTTATTATTCAGCTTTGCCAAGGTATATTAATATTTCACCAATAAAGAGTTAATGACCCACATAATGCATCATAAATCAAATGTAATTTTACATGAAAAAAAAAAAAACATACAAATAATAAAGCACTAATTTTCCAAAATGAAAATCTACTTAGGGATTTTAATCAAGTTGTTTAAGTACCTGCATCATAATCAGCATGCAATTAAATGGTTTACTGTATAATCAAGAGGAGAGATCTGATTTGAAATGGTTTGAATGTTAAGGATATTCCAGAGGTTGTCTCTGACACAGGAATTCTGAAATCTGGACGCTCCAAGAGATCACAACTGAAAAGACAGTAAGTTATGAATTAGTGTTTTTGGCAACGTTATAACAGAACAAAAGTATGCATTGTGGACTCACTGCCAGACTTCTTGTAAAAGAAAGGAAGTTGACAATGTCACAGTCACACGGCTTCCGTGAGACTCATAGAGGCGAATAAGAAGGGCATTCTCTCTTTTTTCCGCCTGTGAGGAAAGAAGGAAACAGTTGATGCTGACAAAGTGACTAAAAAGGAAAGGTCACCGTCTGGACATTTGATGAGTGGCCACCTTTTTTATGGTTTCCAGGATGATAGCAGGTGAGCTTACGGAGAATGCACTCCAGGGTTTAGGAATGACACCATGATGGACACGAAGCGGGTAGTTAAAGTTGTAGGCATACTGGATAACTGCAGATTCCTGAAAGGTGCCTTTACATACACACTGATGTTGTTCAGAGTTGTCTGGGAATTGATTATACTGTATATAATTTCTAGATTCAGGATGTACAAACCTGTATGTGGCATCAACGCATAGCTAAAAATATGATCCCCCATATCAGCATTGAGATCTGGAGCTTTTGGAGCCCGCAAACTGGAAAAAAACATCTTATTTCAATAACCTGTTGAAAAATGCGTGAGGAGTTTGTTAATTTAGAGTAGGTAGCTTACAGGGACAAGGTCATGATGTTTTGATGGACAGAGTAGCCATATTTGGAGTCGTTAAGAAGAGCCACGCCAAAACCATGCTCGGACAGATCAGCCCACTTGTGTCCCCACACCTATTAAACCAAAATTTCACATATAACATGATAATGTGTGAGTGATAATGAAACCTAAACCACAGATGTTATTTAAAAAAATGACAATTTGCATTAGAGTTGTAGAAACATTTTTAAATAAACTCGTACGTTTATTGGACAAAGCACAAAAATGCAGTTCTTAATCTGGTTTGAGCTTAAGAACCAAGGTTTGCAAAATCAGTTGATTGGTGGTTGGACAAGTTGTATACTTGGCAAAAAGAGACACCAACAGAGTACTTGCAGACTTGGGCAACTTGTAGTACAAACAATTCTAACTATAGCTACAACTACCAAACAGATAAAACAAATTTGTCCCTCCGGGTCAACGGAGGGGTGTCCAAACTCGGTCCTGGAGGGCCAGTGTTCTGCTGAGTTCAGCTCCAACTTGCTTAAACACACCTGCCGGGAAATTTCTAGTATATCTAGTATGAGCTTGATTAGCCGGTCCAGGTGTGTTTGATGAGGGTTGAAGCTAAACTCTCTAAAAAAAACGGGCTTCCAGGATTGAGTTTGGACAAGCTCAAACTCTAGTGTGACTGTGGCATTAGAGTTAAGCTTAAACAGGCATGGAGTTGCAGTATGGTGTCCTATTTATCATTGTATGATTTTAAAAGGTTCTCAAAAGAAATGCTT